CTGTGACTCCCTCTCTCTCTGACCCTCCCCTGCTCATGCTGTCTCTCTCTCTCTCTCTCCTAGAAATAAATAAAAATTAAAAAAGAAAAAAGAAAACCAATGAAGGAGGAGGAAGAGAAGAGGGATCACTGAGGGAAGTGGAAAACCAGGAGAAAATACTGCCTAGAAACCAGGAAGAGGACATTTCAAGATGGTGGGAGCGATGCCTGCAGTGAGCGGAGGGCTGAGAGAAGACTACTAGATTTGGTAACAAGGAAGTCATGCTAACCTTGATAAAAGCAGGTGGAGAGGAATGAGAAGGTCACAGGCCAGACTGGAGTTGGTTGAAGAGTGAACAGATGAGTAAGTCAAGAGAGTACAGACCTCAGCTGTCCACTGCGGTAGCACTCCCCACATGTGGCTAATGAGCACCTGAATAGGCAAGTTTGAAATTAAAAAAAAAATGTTTTTAATGTTTATTTATTTTTGAGACAGGGAGAGACAGGGTATGAGCAGGGGAGAGGCAGAGAGAGAGGGAGACACAGAATCCAAAACAGGCTCCAGACTCTGCGTGGTCAGCACAGAGCCTGATGCGGGGCTTGAAGTCATCAACCATGAGATCATGACCTGAGCTAAAGTCGGACACTCAACCAACTGAGCCACCCAGGTGCCCCTAAAAATGGTTTTATTTTTTTTTGAGAGAGAAAGGCAGAGTGCAAGCAGGGGAAGGGCAGAGAGAGAGAGGGAGACACAGAATCCAAAGCAGGCTTGAGGCTTTGAGTTATCAGCACAGAGCTCCATGAAGGGCTTGAACTCACAAAATGCGAGATCATGACCTGAGCCAAGGTCAGATGCTTAATAACTGAGCCACCCAGGGGCCCCAAATCATGCAAACTTAAATTGAGATGACCTGCAAGTGTATAATGCACACCAGATTTCCAAAATATAGTGTGAAAAAAAGATAAAATATTTCAAAAAATAAAAAAATACATAAAATTTTAAAAAGGAATATTTCATTAATATTTTAAGTATATTGATTTCACGTGGAAATGCACACACTTTGGATATACTAGGTTAAATATATTGTTAAAATTAACTTTACCTGTTTCTTTTTACTTTTTAAAATGTGGCTACTAATAAAAAAAAAAAAAAAAAAACCTTAAAAGGGGCGCCTGGGTGGCTTAGTCGGTTAAGCGTCCGACTTTCGCTTAGGTCATGATCTCGCGGATCGTGGGTTCGAGCCCCACGTCGGGCTCTGTGCTGACTGCCAGCTCAGAGCCTGGAGCCTGTTTCAGTCTGTGACTCCCTCTCTCTCTGACCNCTTAGGTCATGATCTCGCGGTTCGTGAGTTCGAGCCCCGCGTCGGGCTCTGTGCTGACTGCCAGCTCGGAGCCTGGAGCCTGTTTCAGTCTGTGACTCCCTCTCTCTCTGACCCTCCCCTGCTCACGCTGTCTCTCTCTCTCTCTCCTAGAAATAAATAAAAAAAATAAAAAAAAAAACACGTTAAAATGTGGCTACTAGAAGTGTTAAATTACCAATATGGCCTATGCTATATTTCTTTTGGAAAGTGCTAGGGGTAGATAATTCTTTCAATAATTTTACTGTCAAAGGAGCCAAGAAATGGGGAGGAAAATAGATGGGCATTTAACATTGCTGACCATTCCCATCTTCTTGAAACTTTCCTCCCTAAGCTTCTCAGATACCCAATTCTTCTGCTTCTCCTTATATCTAACAATTGTTCCTTTTGGACCTTCTTTGTAGGGTCCTTCCCTTTTTCCCACAACTTAGGTGAAGGAGCAAAACTGCACAATGTGGCTGTGCAGAAGAGTGTTACAGGCAAAGGAAACAGCAAATGCAAAGGCCCTGAGGAAGAAGTCGGCTTGAGTAGTTGTGCACAGGAAGTAAGAAGTGTTGCTGGAACAAGTTTGGGGGAAGGGTGAATGGTAGGAAATGAAGTCTAGGCAGTAAGGTGTAGAGGAGAGGGCGTTTGGAGGAAGACAGGTGACAGAAAGGAGGGAGGCAGGAAGTTAAGCCAAGGAAAGTCCATCTGGTTTACATGCAAGGTGAAACTTGGAGACCAGTTAGGAAGCTTTTGCAATAATCCAGGTGGGATCAGGGTGGTAACGGTAACTGTAGAGTGGCTGTACATGAGCGGGGAGGTTCAGAGAGAGACAGACAGACAGACAGACAGAGAAAGAGAATCCCAAGCAGCTTCTGCACTGTCAGCACAGAGCTGGATGCAGGGCTCGAACTCGCAAACCTTATCATGACCTGAGCCGAGATCAAGAGTCAGACACTTAACCCACTGAGCCACCCAGGCGCTCTGGCTGCCAGGAACTGTAAAGGGACTGGATGGGGATGGAAAAGAAGGATAGGCTAAACCTGCCTCTGAAGTTTCTGAAAGGATAGAGTTGCCATCTGTTGAGATGGCAGAGATTTAGAAGGCTATTTGGGGGCCACTGGAAGTAGAATAAGGATAAGTTTGGGGCCTGTAAAGTGTATCGCACGTTGGAGATGCCAAGGAAGCAGGACATACAAACCTGGCATCTTAGGAGTGAGGTCAAGTGTGGAGATAGGAATTTGGCCTTGATCAACACACAGCTGGTATTTAAAGCCACAGGAGGAGATCAGATCACCCAGGGAGTTAACGTATGAGAGGAAAGGCCCAGGGACAACCTTACTGCCACTCAAGCTTACAAGTTAGACATAAGAGCAAACCAGCAAAGAGCACTAAAAAAGAATGGCCAGTGAGTCGTGGGAAAAGCAAGAGAAAGGTGTATCCTGCACCTTAAGAAGAGATTGAATAATCTCTCAGGGAGACATTGAATAATGGTTCAGATGCTTTGGATTGCAATGGATTCAGATCAGGTGTGAGCTTCCCACTGGATTTCCCAGTGAGACCTTCATGAGTGGTTTTGGGGGTGATAGAGACAAGAGCTTGATTTGGATTGAATTGAACGGGGATAGGAAGAGGGGAACTGGAGAAAAATATAGTCGACTCTTTTCAGCTTTGTTATGAAGGGGAGCAGAGAAATGGGACAGTAGCTTGGGTTGGATGCGGGAGTCAAGAGAGTTTGTTAAACTTGGGAGAAATCACAGCACATTTGAATGCTGACGAGAATCATGTAGCGTAGAATGAAAATGTAACGTGCAGGACAGTATGTCCTGCAAGATTCAGATTCATGTCTGCTCTCCTGACATGTTTGTCCCTTATGCATCTGAAACCACTTTAAAAAGCCAATAAGGGGCGCCTGGGTGGCTTAGTCGGTTAAGCGTCCGACTTTCGCTTAGGTCATGATCTCACGGTTCGTGGGTTCGGGCCCTGCGTCGGGCTCTGTGCTGACTGCCAGCTCAGAGCTTGGAGCCTGTTTCAGAGTCTGTGACTCCCTCTCTCTCTGACCCTCCCCTGTTCATGCTGTCTCTCTCTCTCTCCTAGAGATAAATAAAAAACATTAAAAAAAAAAAAAGCCAGTAAAAATCAAAATGGTTGCACCAACGCTTCAGCAAACCTGGAATTTGGATTTTGTCGGTGGCAAGTGGCCGAACCCCGTCAGTTTGGGAGCCCCATGGCTGTGCTTTTATACCCCACCCCTGTTACAACTACACTTCCCCGGTTTAGGCCTTCATTATCTCTGGCCTGTATTACTTCGGTAGTCTTCTAAGAGATTTCTCTACCTTTGACCTTGACTCAAACTGACAAAGCTATACAAAATGCAAATCTCCACTGTATCCCTCACCAGCTTTAAGCCTTTCGAGGAATCTCTGGGATAAAGGCAAAGTCTTGAGCTGCCTCTCAAGGCTTACCTCTAACCTCTCCCTGTCTCAGACTTTGTGTTCTCACACCTAGAAGTTTCTCCTTTGCCTTTGCTCCTTATGGTTCCCTTTGTTTGTAATGGTGCCTTTTTTCTATCCTGGCTAAGTTCGACTCATCTTTTAAGATGTGTTTAGGAATAGCCTCTTCTAGTAAGCTTTTTGCCAAGTACTACAAACCTTCCAAGGATGGGAAGGGGACCTCTGTGTTTCTACCGCTCTCCTCTACCCCACCAAAGGCCCGGACCCCGTCTTATCTTCGTCGTGCTTTCAGCAAATGTTTGTCTAATGACTAGCACACTTTAAGCATCAAGTCCAAGGTTACCCAGCTGGTAAACTGCTGAGTCAGAAATCAGCGCTTAGACCCCTGGAGGGCTCTCATTCAAATGTAAAGTCCTCAAAGCCTTCCCTCCAGCAGTGCCCTTTACAGTTTGCAAAACATTTTGATAAGGCTACTCTTCAGATCCAGGGGCAGGACTTGTAAAAAGGAAATATTTTTAAGCCCGGGAACTAGAGAAGAGCCTCAGGAAAGGACTAAGAAGTCGTCTACAAGAGAGAACAGCAGTCAAGAGGGTCAGCCAGCTGCCAGAAGACCCTCCCAGCCAGAGAAACCCCACCCGGGAACCCTCACCCCAAGCCCCCCTCCACCTCAAGGACTACAAATCCCAGCATGCCTCGCATCCAATAAGTGACAGAACGCTATGCGCGCCGGGACACGTAGTCCCGTTCTACTTCAGGAAAGGCCCAGAACGTCCGTGACGACAGGAGGGCTCGGGAAAGGAGTCGGAACCGGTCCAGGCTCAAGTTTAATCATCCTCTAGAGAGCCGACTGCCGTTTTTTGATGACCCGGTTTCAGGTCCTACCCTGGAGTTTAGCGGCCCTATGATGTGCGTTGAGTAGCTTCTCGCGTGATTCCATCAAGGTTAAGGGGAAGTGCCAGAGGCCAAGAATAGGCAGCCTTTTCCCTCGAGGCGCCAGCTTGTTAGGGTAGTGGTACGCAGGACGCTACCCTGGACAGGTGCTCAGACGCTGCTTCCCCAGCAGCGCCGGTGAGGACGTGGCAACACTACCTCGAAGAGGCAGCTTCCCTTTCTGGCTAGAGGCGCGGGGAGGCGCAAAGACTGCTGGGAACGCGCATGCGCCCACCGCGGCGGGGAGTATACCTCCAACGTCTGCGGGCGCGGGTGGTGTCGGGTGTCCGCGGCGGCGCTTTGCGGCCAGTCGTGCGGGTCGGGCGCGGGCTGGCGGGCGCGGCGGCAGTGGCGCGCACAGGTGATTGACTGGCCAGCTGGCTGAGGGATCGCCTGGTCCCCATTGCTGGCAGGTGGCGGAGCCCATTTGGGCGGCGGCAGCGGCAGCAGCAACAGCAGCGACGGCTCGGCTCGGGAGGCGCTCTTCGGGCCAAGGCCATGGCCCCGCGGCTGCAGCTGGAGAAGGCGGCCTGGCGCTGGGCGGAGACGGTGCGGCCCGAGGAGGTGTCGCAGGAGCATATCGAGACCGCCTACCGCATCTGGCTGGAGCCCTGCATCCGCGGCGTGTGCAGGTGAGGCCCGCGCACTGGGCCTTGCACCCCCGGCTCGAACTTTGGAAAACCGGGCCGGGGGCCGGGGGTCATATTGGGGGAAAGAACAGCAGCCAGCTGCGTGCATCTAGCAGGCGCGGAGAGGACCAAGGTGGAGGCTTCCTTCTTAACGCCGTCTGGGCGACCTGAGTAACGCAGCCTTCCCGGGCTTTGCATGGAGGTGATGCTGCTGTGAGCCCTTTAGGAAGGGTTCTGGGTGCTTATCTAGAAGATGGCGGTGGAAATGGTTGAAGGCAGGAGCTGAGAGCTTAGCAAACGTTGTTGGTTGTTGTATCTTGGTCACGGCTCGGCTCTTTCCATTGTAGAAAGGGAACTTCTTGGAAGTGAGTTTCATCGCAGTATATCTTTTATTACAGTTGACGTTAAGGCTTGGTCATCTTAGTATTAGTTTTGGATAGGGATGGTTTAGAAAAACGTACGGGTAGACTACGTCATCGGTACCTTCACCCCCAGCTGACCTACGCTCTTTCGTTAATCTGTTTTAGCTTCTTCCCCTCCCCTTTTTTGGGGGGTCTTTTCCACTGCACCGCTTTACCAAGTACGAAGTTTGAGCGGTGTGAGTTCTGTCCTTCACTTCTGTCTAGCCCTTGAATCTTGCCTTTCCTTTTAGTTCGAATGCTCAGGCATTGTTCCTGTCTCTTCTGTTTTTCCACCTTTTAACGCGGGAACTATAGTTTTTGTTCTGGAATGTTGTTGAATTGAGTTGGCCAAACCGGGCATGCTCAGTAGCTTTACTTCAGCAGGCATTTAGTAAAGGCTTTCTGGAGTTTTTAAGCGGCGGGACCGGAAGGAATGGAAGTCAAGGTCTCACTTTGGAATTTAGGTCTAGATTGAGAAGTGATTCAGGTTAGGGAGCTTCCATAAAGCTAATGAATAATTCCAAGTTCTGGGCGTCTGGTTTACAAGAAGGGCATGTCTGACTCCAACGGTAAGTACTGGATTGACAGTCTGTTATAATAGAAATTAAGCTTCAGTTTCCCAACATAATTAAGTTTCAGAGAAGCCAAAAAAAAAAAAAAAAAAACCCCACTCTTTTACTCTTAGAATTCTGATTTTAATGCAAGTAAGGGAGTAGAACTTGCCTGGGATTTTTATAAGAGGAATATCATAAGAGTTTTAAGTTGTGGGTCGCCTGGGTGGGTCAGTCGGTTAAGCATCCGACTTGGGCTTAGGGCATGATCTCACGGTTTGAGAGTTCGAGCCCCACACGGGACTCTGCTGACAGCTCCGAGCCTGGAGGCTGCTTCTGATTGTCTGCTTCTCTCTCTGCCCCTCCCCTACTCATTCGTTCTCTCTCTCTCTCTCTCTCTGTCTCAAAAGATAAATATTAAAAAAAAATTTTAAGTTGCAATCACAAGGTTTATATCCAAACAGGTGTTTTTTTTTTATTTTAAAGCAATGAGATATAATTCACATATTGTATGATTCACCTATTTAAAATGTACTATCCAGTGTTTTTTGTTTATGTTCACAGAGTTGTTCAGCAATCCCCACCATCAGATTTTAGAACATTTTGCACACACACTCCTCCCCTGTCCTTTAGCCGTTATATTGGCAGCTCAGTCCTCTGTATACCACCAACCAAGCTCCAAGTGGCCACGATCAACTTTTCTGCCTCTAAATTTGCCTATCTTGGACACTTCCTGTAAATAGAACCACAAAATATGCGGACTTTTGTGACTGACTCCATTCACTTAGTGTAATGTTTTCAGGGGTCATCACGTTGTACCGTGTGTCAGTATTTCATTTTAAGAAGTGTGCAAAAGACAAGAAAATGTATTCTTTTAAAGCATACAGGGGTGCCTGGGTAGCTCAGTCGATTAAGCGTTAGGCTCGCATCATGATCTCATGGTTTGTGATTTCAAGCCCTCTGCAGTTAAGCAAGAGCCCTCATCAGAATCTGTTTTTCCCTCTGTCTGCCCCTTCCCCCCACCCTCTCCCCGTATGTGCGCTCTCCGTGTTTTCCAAAAATAAGTAAACATTAAAAAAAAATAGTATACAATTAAGTGGTATAGAACACCTTTACAAGTTGTACAGCCATCGCCAGTGTCTAGTTCCTGAACCAAAGGGAGGCTTAACTGAAAGAGCCACCCAGGCGCTCCCCCCGCCGCCTTTTTTTTAATTTTTATTTTTTTTCAAGTAGGCTCTACTGTCAGTGTGGGGTTTGAACTCAAAACCCCTGAGAGTGAGAGTCAGGTCTCTACCTCCTGAGCCCCAGCCAGGTGCCCCCAGAGCTTTTTCTGTTACCTTAAAAAGAAGACTCTATATTCTTTAAACAGTCACTTCCCATTTCCCCTTCATGCCACCCCCTGGCAACCACTGAACTTTCTCTCTTTATAGGTGTCTCTATTCTAGATATTCCATATAAATGGAATCATACTGTGTGTGGCCGTTTTGTGTGTGGTTTTCAGGTAGCATAATGTTTTCCAGGTCTTCCATGTTGTAGCATGTGCTACTAAGTTATTCCTTTTTGTGGCTGAATAATATTCCTTTGTTTAGATATATCATATTTATTCATCAGTTGATGACCTTAAAAGATTTCCCTCCCAACTTTATTGACAAATAATTAACAAATAGAATTAACCTGTGTTTTAAAGTTTACAACGTGATGATTTGATAAACATGGTGGAATGATTACCAAGATCAAGGTAGTTAACACGTCCATCACTTAACTTGAGTTAAGTTGAGGAACATTTTTGTTACATCGGCTTTGTGGCTGTTCTGAGTAGTGCTTCTGTGAACATTTGGGTACAAGTTTTTGTTAGAATACATGTTTTCAGTTCTCTTGTGTGTATACCTAGGAGTGAAATTGCTGGGTCATGTATTATGTTTAACTCACTGATGAACCGCCAAAATTTTTCACAGCTTCTGTGCCATTCATTTTACATTCCCACCGGGAATGGGGGGGGGGGGGTTCAATTTCTCTCCATCCTTGCCAACACTTGATATTTTCTGTTTGTTTTTATGCCATCCTAGTGTGTTTGAAGTGGCTTCTCGTACTTTTGGTTTGCATTTTTGTAATGACTAATGAATCGAACATCTTTTTTCTATGTTGGCCATTTTCTTTTTTTTTTTTTTTGCCAAATAATATTCCATTTATGTGTGTACTACCATGTTTATATATCTGTTCATCAGTTGATGGACATGTGGGTTGTTTCTACTTTTTGACTACTACCAAGACCGATTGTGTAGAGGTTTTTGTGCAGTTGGTATTCTTTTATCTTGGGTATATTTGTAGGAGTGGAATTGCTGGGTCATAAAACTGTTTAACATTTTGAGGAACTGACAAATTATTTTCCAGGGTGGCTGTGCTATTTTACATACTCCTGGTTTAGATGAAGACTTTTTTTTTTTTTTTTTACAGCCATCCTAGTGTGTGTAGATGGTATCATCGTTGTGGTTTTGATTTACATTTCCCTGATGACTAAGGTTGAGCCTCTTTCATGTGCTTCTTGGCCAGTCCTATGTCTTTGGAGAAACGTCTATTCAAGTCCTTTGCGCATTTTAAAATTGGGTTGTGTGGGTTTTTTTTTTTTTTTATTAAGTTGTAGGAGTTCTTCATTGGATACACATCCCTTACATTTGCAAAAATTTTCTCTCATTTCTGTGGGTTTTCACATTTTTGATGGCATTATTTGTAGCACAAAAGCAATTTTGATGTAGTCCAGATCTTCCTTCCTTCCTTCCTGCTTGTGCTTTTGAGACCATGTCTAATCTGAGGCCTAAGCAATTTTTATATAAATGTCAAGTTTCTTTGCTGCTCAGTTTCTCCTTTTTTTCCCTTTTTAAAGCTTATTAATTTTGAGAGTGATCATGAGCTGGGGAGAGGCAGAGAAAGAGGGAGAGAAAATCCCTAGTAGGCTCTGCACCTCAGCACAAGGCCTGACATGGGGCTCGAACCCACAAACTGCAAGACGATGACCTGAGCTGAAATCAAGAGCACAACACTGAGCCACCCGGGTGCCCCCATCTTCTTTTGTTTAAGCATTTCTTCTGACTCTTAGCAAGAAGAGATTAAAGGATTAAACTAATGGTATCAATATCCTTTTTTTAAATGTTTGTTTATTTTGAGAGAAAACAAACAAGCAGGGAAAGGGCAGAGTGAGAAGGAGAATCACAGGCAAACTCCACCCTGTTAACAACCCTGAAATCCCAGCCTGAGCCAAAATAAAGAGTGGGTCACCCAAGTGCCCCATCAATATGCTTTTTTTTTTTTTTTTTTTTTAAATACCTTATGTACATGATTGTTAGGAGATTCCAGAGCTGAAGCGGTGTTTAGGTCTATTCAAAGACTAGGTAAATCAAGACTTTTATTTATATTTCTGAAACCACTTAGTACAATCATAGATGAAAGTAATCTGTAATAATCCTATATCCACACAATTCTGAAAATATTGTGTCTTAATTTTTAAGAGCAGAGGTTTTGTAACAATGAGGGTGATGGTTAAGCAAGTTCCTTGCAGTTAATTGGTTGGGTGGGAGCTGTGCATTTTTCATTTTGTTCCATAATGCTTAATTGCCCATCAGAATGACTGTCCCACTTTATAGTCCTGTGTAAGAATGTCTTGTTTCCTCACACCATCACCGACACAATGTTAATCACACTTTTTGATCTGTTTTGTGTGGTGTGTGTGTGTGTGTGTGAGACAGTTAAAATTTTGATAGGAATTTTTAGTCTGGACTAATTTATACCCCTAGCTGTGTATATAGGAGCACAGTGTATACTTTGTTCTCCTGAGAGAAACAGTACTGATGACTGTTATAAAATTAAAGCATTCTAGAAAGTCAGTGTCATGCAGGTTTCAGAAACATTTCAATGACTTCTCATAGCTCTAGTCCAAAAACAAAGGTTTTTATTTTCAGTAATCTCTGTGCCCAACATGGGGCTCAAACTCCTAACTCCAAGAGAAAGAGTTGCATGTTCCTCCAGCCAGGCAGCCTGGTGCCCCTGTGTGTTTTGG